CCATTATATATAAGTGTAAAAAAAAACGCTCATAAAAACTGCAAAACACAAAATGTGAAACCGCACATCTACATGTATATCTGCATGGACCTAACAAATCTTCATGCTAAATTTGGTAAAGGTCCATCAACAGGGGGCAAAGTAGTTGTAAAAAACGCAAAATGCAAAACTGAAAATGTATTTGTATTTCCCCATGAACTCAATTAACTTCCGTGCCAGATTTGGTGAAGATCCATCAAAAGGGGGCGAAGTAGTGGTAAGAAACTCTAAAACGCAAAAATGTTTAACCTTCCAACAGTTCGTTCCTAGTTCATGGTCTGCCTCCACAGCTTACCTATCCAACAGTTCGTTCCTAGTTCATGGTCTGCCTCCATAGCTTACTTTTCCAATTGTTCGTTCCTAGTTCATGGTCTGCCTCCACAGCTTACCCTTCCAACAGTTCGTTCCTAGTTCATGGTCTGCCTCCATAGCTTACTTTTCCAATTGTTCGTTCCTAGTTCATGGTCTGCCTCCACAGCTTATTCTTCCAACAGTTCGTTCCTAGTTCATGATCTGCCTATAAAGCTTACTCTTCCAACAGTTCATTCCTAGTTCACGGTCTATCTATAAAGCTTACCCTTCCAACAGTTCATTCCTAGTTCATGGTCTGCCTCCACAGCTTACCCTTCCAACAATTCATCCCTATTTCATGATCTCTGTCCACACCTTACCCTTCCAACAGTTCGATCTCAATTTCTCAATTTTCCTCCACAGTTTACCCTTCCAACAGTTCGTTCTCAGTTCATGATCTGTCTCTACAGATAGCGTGATTTTTTTTTCACTTCTACTGATAGCTATGTGATCAAATCACTATTGTTTTACTTCGAAACTTAATCATTTCGTTTACTAAGGCACCGAAACAATTAAAGCATTCTTTTCTGTATAGTCTTGAAGGTTACTTGAAGTTTATTTTAAATATTAATTTTCGGCCTTCGTAGATTAATAAGTTTTAGATCTCTAGTATGTATAATATCCTGTAGGGAAAAATAAAAATTATGTTTAGAAAAACGAAATACCAAGAACGTACATTCACAGTCTGTTATTCCACTAAGAGTAAAGTCTACGTACTTATAACAAAGATGAAAGTACAACACATGGGGAGTTTCTGATACAACCACGATCACACGTGCAGTAGCATCGAGGATAATTACCCTTCTTTGCGAAGTTGTACATTTACTATGGAAATGAAAA